CTCCCTCCCTCCCTCTCTCTCTCTCTCTCTCTCTCGTTTAACTTTACGATCTACGCTACGGTCTTAATAAAAAAAGCTTCTCGTACGTAATAATTACTCTTTTACTTCTGGAGATCCGTATAAACGTAGAAACATCGTATGAAAAACTTGAAAAAGGTACCATTCCGGGTGGTAAGTTGTGCATGTCTTCGTAGTAAATTGTAATTAGGCGATACTTTAATGATTATCATAAAAATTACGATTAGGCTTCGTCGTAAGTGTTTCTCTCCCTCTTGTATTGGAGAAGTAGCATGTCGAATAAACGCCGAATTTACACAAACGCATTCTCTATAGTCTAGATTAATATATCACTTACATCTCGTTTCGACTTACTGTATATACTTTATTTCGTATGTTCCATGGTACGTATATACGTATACGCGGTGTAAATGTCCCTTTGCGTGTGTCGTGTGTCAACGTCTCTCTTTCTCTCTTTCTCTTTCTCTCTCTCTCTCTCTCTCTCTCTTTCTCCTCGTGTGCTTGCAAGCGCGTGCGTGCATGCGTGCACGCGCGCGCGCGCACGTACCAAAGTCATGGAAAAAAAAAAAAGTGCAGTTCCTCGTTACAACAACGTAATACGTCTCGATTGTACAGATGTAAAACGGAAAAAGGGAAACCAAGGACCGCGAAGAAAACACGAGCGAAATAATAATAACAGATCGGATGGCGTCTCTCTCTCTCTCTCTCTCTCTCTCTCTCTCTCTCTCTCTCTATCTATCTCTTTTTCTCTCCCGAAGTCGCGTCGCGAGTGAGATTGTTTTGCTCGTTTGCCGAATGTCTCACGAGTCGCTCTCTCAATCATTTCTCACAGTCTCTCTCTCTCCCTCTCTCTCTCTCACTCTCTCTTTTCCGGTTCATTTCTCGTGTACTTCCGTCCGATTCCCGCTCTCACCGCGGCGAAGATACCATTCTGCCACGCATACACACACTGCCTGTGGCTCCAATATATCTCGCCGGGTTCTCTTGTTCCGCGCGCTATCATTCTCTTTCCCCTTTCACACCGTCAATCGCTACATCACGCACAGCCTGACTCTCGCGAATCTCTTCTCCCCCCTTATATTTCGACTCTTGCTTTCTCTCTCTTTCTCTCGTTCTCTCACTCGCACTCAATCTCTCTCTCTCGCATTCTCTCTTGTACACACTCTTTCGCTCTCATAGAGTACAATAGTTACGTAATTACGGCAGGGCGCCATCCAATGAGTATTTCCTCTGGAATGCACGACGAACGATTTTTCCCCCTTATCGACCCTCTCCGGTGATCATTAATTAATCGCTCCTTCCTATCATCGCTTTTTGTCCGTCGCGCGTTGTTCGAGCATATTAGACTTACCTCCGTAACAATTATAATGACACTTTAATAAATTTCTACACAGCAGGGCCGATATCGTTGTAGCCCGCGGTCGAGCACGCGGCTAAGAGATTCGGCGAACTAACCGCGTGCCACAAAGAATGACGAGTATCGCTTTTACTCTGTGAGAGAGAGACTCCGTGCGCAAACGGCAATGGTGTATATATGCGCGTGTTAGTGTACGAATTTATGTATACGTGTGTGTATGTGCGTGTACATCGTGTTCCTCCAGAATCGAACGTTCGCCCGGTGCATGACCTCGTAAATCCGTCCTTAAATAATACGATCGTAGATTCTCTCTCTCTCTCTCTTTCTCTCTCGTACGTGTATTCTCGTTCGCCCTGCTGCCAAACGCCGTCTAATATTTAATAGGCCTACTATAGAGTCTATATCATTGCGATATAGGCGATGCCGCGGTAACATCACCGTCGTCGTCGTTGTCGTCGTCGTCGTCGTCGTCATCGTCGTAGTAGTCGTCGCCCCGTTTTCCTCTTTTGCTGCTCGTAACGAAAGAACGTTTTTTTTTCTGTTTAGTTGGAGGAATGGTCCAAATATACATATCTATATAATATACTTTTTTGGTTTTAACGAGAGAAAAGAACTTTCTTCTTCCCAAAATACAATTCAGTTAGTGGCGCTTATTCGTATTCGTTTATGTTGTTTTGGTGGTGCGCGTCGGCGATGATTTCCTGCGAAAGAAAGGAAGGGGATGTATTAATCGATCGTGCAAGAACGCCAGTCCGAGTCAACCGGAGGATAAGAGGTTAAAGAACACTTACGTTTGTGTTGCATTCGATGGCTTCGTTTACTGCCGCTGCGACCGCCTTATCACTTATGTCGATCTCCTCGATAGCCTTTAAAGAGAGAGAATAAGAGCATTAATGGCGCTAATGACTGCTCAGTCACTGTAAAGATAAAAAGTGCAGTCGTCTATATTAATGATCAGATGGCCCCTTCGCTCAATTAATCTTCGTCGGTCAGTATACTCGATAATGACCTTCAGGCTCATTTACGCTCACGGAGCGTAAATGATCTCTCGGCGATCATCATGTATGCGAGAATCATATCAATTACCAAGTATCCCATTATATTCAAACTACCTAAAGGAACCTTTATCCGGTGATCGTGCAGACACCAACGAGAGAGATACATACATCATTAAACTGTATCTTTTCACGCAAATCTTGCCCGTGCGTAAAATCTCAATAATTAAGACTTTAGAAACTCAAGCGGACTCTTCAAGACAGAAAGTTCGGGTTACGACCTTTGCAAAAGTTATATAAGTCACCCCTCTCTTTCTCTCTCTCTCTCTAGCGTTTTGCGATCTCGCTTTGTGTGCAAATCGCCGTATAATTGAATATTACTTTCAAATTTTTCTCACACTAAAACGCTACACGAAGGACGCGTGAATAAGCAAAATCAGCGACGCTGGCAAAATGAACTGCACGATATTGCGTGCGGAGGTGTCAAAAAAGATACTCTCTGTACGTGCGCTCGAAACAAAACGATCGATCGACGCAATCCGCATCATCGTCAATGACTCACTCCGGGCTAATAATAGCTCGGACGTAGCGTACATGATTATAATCTTCAGACTGAGGCTAGACTGCGAACGTATGTATATATCACCTTGGTGACCGAGGCGACGTCCTCGGTGATGGCCGGAGCTGTTGGCGGGGAGGCTGGTGCCTCGGTCGGGACAGCCGGTGGTGCGACTTTAGGAGGCTCGTCGTTGCAGTCCGTCGTGCTGGTGTCATGGGCCACGTTGTTTTCTACCGGCGCCTCGACTTCCGGAGCGGCGCTCTGTAAAATATCATTTCTGCTCGTTACGCGTTTGTCGCACACATCCTCCTTGCTGTTTCTCGCTCTTCCTCTCTCCCTTTCTTTTCGTCTCTCAGTTTCCTTAAATCCAAACCCCAACATGCTGTAACGTGGACGAGAGAGACGCAGGATCGATTCTGCCGGGCGGTTCTCGTCCGAAGAAGAGAGTAGCTCGTGAGAGAGAAAGAGAGCTCTCTCTCTCTCTCTCTCTCTATTCCCACCCCTCTCTTTCTCTCTCTTCCGCTTCCGCGAATGTCGATACGTACGATTACATGAGTGCGTGCAAGCGACGAAATGTACCCGGGCAGAATCGGTCCGGTCATGCTTCGGGCGGCGCAAAGAATTGAGAATATCCCGCTGACGAAGCCCTAAGAGAAACTCGGCATGCGCATTACAAGATGCTTACGACACAACAGATGCAAAAATTACGAAGAGCAGCACGGCAGTATCGAGAGAGCTCATCTAAGAGCGCGCGTCTATCGTCTACCTAAAGAAAAAAAAAAAAGAAAAAAAAACGCCAGCTACCACGCGCGCGTGCCATTTTAGTCCAACTGCTGTTTCTTTCTCACTATCAACGTCTATCAATGAGATTTCACACTAGAGGTACCTCTAAACTCGGGCGTTCTATGTTATATTAGTAACAAGAGCGACTCCACGAAGGGGAAAAAAGACGACAGTCCTCTACAAGAAGTAACATCGGGTCATCGCGCGGCAGCGCGCAAGGATCCGCGCCGCGCGTCGCTAAATTATTAGGAGAGATGCTCTACTACAGCGTATGATCCGATCCTTTACTTTAGTCGGCATAAAAGTCGTGTTAATATTGTCAAGAAAACCAAGAGGCAAAACAACACAGGTGGTGATAATCGGTATAATCGTGGTAATATAATATATGTATGGGAGAGCTGGGCGGAAGCGGCGGAGGACATCGAGCAACAGAGAGTGAGAGACAGAGAGAGAGAGGTAAGGCTTTGTTGTTAATCACGTTCGACAGAACGAAGGATGCATACGAGACGAGACCCTCAGGCGTTGGAGCGGAGAGCTTCGTGGGAGAGCTTCGTGGGAGTTTTCGTGGGAGCTTCCGTGGAACGGGGAGGGGGGACACACACGCACACACACACACATACACACACACACCGCGGACTCCGAGGACCGACCGAGCGGGGCGAGAAGCGACCAAGTCGTACGAGAATCGTGCAAGATCTCCCGGACGTCGCTGTCAGTCTCATTCGATGTTACCCTTCGTCGAGAGAACGGGGCGGAAAGGCGGAAAGGTGTTTGCTTAAGTGGGAGGCGCACACGTAGTTCGGGGATTCGAGGTAGCGGAGGCTCGATACGCGTCAATACCCCGGACGACACAGAGCACCGGATGGATTCCGTGTGGGAGGTGCGGCGGGAGGGGGGGGAACGGAGGGAGCCGATTTCTTTCGGAGTATAACCACAGAGACAGCATATTTTGTGCGGACCGTACGACGTAGATAAACGTGGAACGAAGCGCCCGCCAAAGAAGATTTGGCCGGCCGCGTTCATGCCAGGAGGTTGTGTTGCATGTTAGTCACCTGGTGATGCTCCTGGGCGGCAGCCGACAGGACGGCGGTCGACAACTGACACGACAAGGCCTCTTCCTGGCATTCGGTCTCCGCTAGGCACTTGGCCGCCAGCCTCTCCTTCAACTCAACGTCCGAGGGAGTCGGTGCGCTCACCGACGACCCCGTCGTCGTCGTCGTCTGCGACTCGCGATTGCTCCGGTCGTCCCCGTCGTGCGAGAGGGTTTGCGGAGGGCGATCTTTCGCGCTAGCCGCGATGCCGGACGCGACGGGATTCGCGCAGGACTGGGAGGCCGGTGGGCTCGAGGGTGGCGTGAGGAGTGTCTCTGTCGGGTCTCTCGGACTGGCCGGGTCGTGCTCGAACGCGTTCGGGATGTACGACTGAGGATCGTCGAAGCTGGGCGGCATCGCCTCGGGTATGTTCTCGAGGGGGAAGGACGGGGGAGGTGACGACATCTGAGGCTCGCTCGACTGACTCTCGCCGACCTCCAGCGAGGGGAATTCCGTCGGAGGGTCTGGGAATTCGGACGAGCAGTGCGTCGGTTCCGGACTGCTCAGGAGGCAGGATTCGCCGTCCGGTGGTGTCGCGCGGAGGTAACTTTCGGTTTCCTCAATTTGCTCGATTCGCGCGAGGGACGACGCCGTGGCTAGTTCCGCGGTGGCCGGATCCTCTTTCACGGCGAGCGATCCCGCGCCGAACAGAGCGGCGTCCTCGGACAGCGGAGGAGGGGGCAACACGTCGTCCTCGGACGTCGTCTTCGCGTCGATCGACGGCGCGTCCTCCAGTTCCTCGGAGATCAGAGTCTCCTCCGTGGGCAGCGCGGTGTCCGACTCGGGCTCGTTCTCGATCCTCTCCTCGTCGGTCTCCGGTATCGCCTTCACGGACTCCGTGGTGTCGGTCAATTCCTCGACGCTGTCGTCCTCCGGAATGACAACCGCCACTTTGGCCTCCACCAGAACGGTCTCGTCCGACGGGAGGAGGCCTACTCCTTCGGGATCCACCGGTTCCTCGCTCGCGACGGGGACCGTCGCACCTTCCTCTCCGGCCTCTCTCGGCGCGTCTCTCGCGTAATTATGTTCAGGCTCGACCGCCGCTCTCCCGCACGGTCGTTCCGTTTCCTCATCTACCGAACGTTTCTCCTCGAGCGGTCCCATCGGCGCAGCGTCCCCCGCGGCATTCTCCGTTTCTGCCGTCTCCTCGAGACGCCGCGTTGCCGACGGGCTATTTGTTTTAATCTCGGCCGGCGGTGCGACGACCACGGCTGCATTTTCATTACATCCGCCGGCGTCAGCCGATACATTTGTCTTCGCAGCGTCATCCCCTCCGTTATTTATCTCGCTCTTTATCTGACACTCCACCACGAGCGTCTCATTCACAACTTTATCCGTCGCGCCGGGAACTTTCATCACCACGGACAATTCCGCCGCCTCGCCTCGATCCGTCGTCGGCCTCACCACCTCCGGAGATGCGGAGATCCCGCTTTCGTCGCGCGCGTCCTCGACTCCTCCCTCGACGTTAACGAGCGGATCTTGGGAGCCAGGTCGGCATTCGGCGAGCGGCCCATCGTCGCGCGTATCCGCCACTCGTGGCGTCGTCCCCTCTTCACCTCCCCGCTCACACGCTTCCTCCGCCGGGCTCTCCGGCACGCTCTCTACCTTCGGATCGATCTCGCCCCTCTCATTGTCACGGCTACTCGCAAACGTCTCCACCTTCTCCGCGACTCGATCTCGAGACTCGATCTCCACCACCGGCGGGCACTCGACTACTACCTCCGCGGGGACGAAGGTCGAGAAGGGACCGGACGACACCGGGGAGGACGCGGCGGGTTTCACGCGGCTCTCTTGGGAATCGTACTCGCGGGGGGAGGACGGGAACACGTCGGCGGCCGATTCCTCCTCCTCCTCCTCGTCGGCGGCAGCCTCGGCGGGCAGCTTGAGCGCCTCGGCGAGTGCGGTGGCGCTCGCCGCGGCCTGCCGAGCCTGCTGCAAGGGCGACGGGTCTATGGGGGTTGGCGGCGGACTGGACGGGGGCAGGGACGGGAGGTCCTCACTGGTTTTCCTCTCAATGATAGACGGCGTCGCGACTGGCTGGACTCGGAAGACCGGGACCTCTATCGGGTCGGCGGACCGACCACCGGCGGCTGGACTGACCTCGACTACTTTTTTCTCGGCCTCGACTTTTTCGACGACCGCCTCCTCTTTCTTATCCTCGGCAGACGGGACGGGAGTGGGGGCGGAGGGAGTGGGTTCTTCTTTCTTTTCCTCGGCCGGACTAGCGGCTGCTGGCGACGCCGTGACGGCGGCCTCCTCCTTCGCTTCGGCCGGCGTGCTGGCCGCGGCTGCTGCTACCGGCGCCGCGGCTGCTACCTGCTCGTCCGCCGACGGACTGCTCACCGTTGACTTCTCATCCGTGGGGCTGCCGCTCGCCGCTGCCGTTGTGTTCTCGGCCTCTTCGCCACCCTGAAACAGCATCGAAAGCGAGGTTCCTTTTAGTGACGGAGCGCAAAGACCGCGGCGGTATCGTCAGGATCGCCGTCGCGGTTTACCGTAACTCGATGTCTAGGCGGATTGGGAAGCGGGGAGTTATTTCACGTGGGGGGGGGGG